AGTGCACTGGGCCTCTAATAATAATGCATACATATAAAAGCCCAGCGATCTGAATGGCAGAATGACCGTACAATTGGTTGCTTTGACGTACACTGCGGTGGCCAACCAGCCCAGTTCCAGGCCCCCACCAGCCCCCTCAACCTTACATGGCTCCTCCCCCTCACCATTGGCTGCAGCCCCTTCCCTTGACCAGCTCTGCCCCCAATTGTATGCTCCACTCCAATCAGGGTAGGGCCAACTATCTGGGGGAAGAGGCTGTGGGTGGTTGGCTGGCCGGCCCTGCCCCTGATTGGGGTAGGAGGAGCCAATCGGGCAGATCTGGCCGGCCAATCTCCCGCAGCCCCTCCTCTTGGCCAGCCCCACCCCAGTTGGCCACCATCGGAGTGGGCTGCCTGGACCCCACCCATGCATGAATTTGTGTGCCGGGCCTCTAGTAATAAAAATGTGGAAGTTTATTATAAATGTACACAAACTCCCCCTGGGGGAAGGGCACCCTATTGGGAAAAACTTGCTCCCTCTAATGGGAAAAAAATCAGTTCTGATATCTCATTTTCTTTGTCTATCAGTTTATAAAGGCTGGCAGCTCTTTATTTGAATATGTCCCTTTCTAATTGGACTCTTCCTTAATTTATTTCCCCTGTGCTCTCCTAATCAGTCACTCTCCTGCAGAATATCAGTTTCAAAGTTCAAAGCCCACTGGGTGCTCCCTTTTCTTTTTCCCCTATTTTGTAACATTCCTCTGGCCTCTGTGAATATATGTCTTCCTCCCTATGAGCCCCCTTTTATTCCCTAATTGCCCCACTTGTCCCTAAAATTTCTTTAAAATCCAAATATGTCATTCACATGCTTCTCCAGTTGCCAGGAAGTAAGAGGTAGTGGTGAAATCACCAGTTGGCTAAACTCTGGGTGATAGAGACTCTAAGATTAATGACCTAGTGTTACACATTAAAATGGAATTGGAATAATTTCAGCATCAGAAATTTTTTTTGGTTAGAATTTTGATTCTGTAATCTTGGTTTCCACTAGTTTGCTTGCATTTTACTCTTTCCCCATGCCTTTGTGAATAGTTTTGTCATATACAGTCAACTGAATGCTCTGTGTTACTTTGTAATTGCTCACTAAACTATATTTTCTAGAGACTCCTTAGAGTAGTTCTTCTCATGAATATAAATCTGAAAATTGAATATGAGTTTCCTATTAGCAGTGATCTAAGGATATCATTTAGAAAAAAAAATCAATTGTATATTCTTTCATTTGGCAGAGACTTAAAATACTCAAGTGGGAGTTAACTAAAGAAGTTCTAGCTGATCCTTGAATATACCTTTGCTGGCAAGTTTTGCTAAATTGCATGCTATTAATTGGAGCTTATTATGAATGCCATATCTCCCTATATAACAACTGCCTTTTCTTAGTAATGGGGCACGTATTTTATTTTTTTTAAATGTATTTTATTGATTTTTTTACAGAGAGGAAGGGAGAGAGATAGAGAGTTAGAAACATCGATGAGAGAGAGTCATCGATCAGCTGCCTCTTGCACACCCCCTACTGGGGATATGCCCGCAACCAAGGTACTTGCCCTTGACCAGAATCGTACCCAGGACCTTTCAGTCCGCAGGCCTATGCTCTATCCACTGAGCCAAACCAGTTTCAGCTGGGGAGTGTATTTTAATACCTACTTCCTTTAGTTAGCCTGGCCCTGCCTACTTGCCAGCCCACCCCCTGCCGCCACTGCTGATTGGGGCCTGTGGGCTGGGAGTTGCACTGAGCGTCTGCTCCCTGGTGGTCAGTGTGCATCATAGCAACCAGTCATTCTGCTGGTTCTTCTACCAATTGGTCTTATATAGGACTCTTGGACTCTCTCCTTGGAGAATGAGTAAAGTTCATCATCTACCTTTGTAAAAGATTTAATCTGGGTCCCAACTGCAATTCCAATTGGCCTGGCCTGGATCTTTACCTAAAGAATTAGGATTTTCACACAAATAAAAATCATGATAAAAAAAAACAAACATTAGTTTTAGTATAATAAATGCCATTTAAAACTAAAATCTCCAAATATTAAGAAGCTTACTGAGCTCTGTTCAATGACATCCTTTATTTCACCAATGGTCACCATGACCCAGTATTATTACGGTTCAGTGAGAGAGATTTGGAAACTCATTCAGTCCCATATAGTTAAGAGTGCCCTGCTGTTTGACCTCCTGGAACTTAGTTGAAGGTCTTTCTACTTTCTGTGCTTCAGATAACAGAGTGGACTCTTCCTCCTGGATCCTTTCACTGTTCACCACTGTAGCTGTCTGACAAAACAAAGACCCAGTGTCACATTTAACTCCATTCTACCTTTGTAAGTGCAGTCACCTTTCCCAGAAGCCATTGTTTGTGGCCATTTTATTAGATAAATAAATAAAAGAATTCTGCCCACCTGCATCAGTATTCCAGAGCCAGAGCTTCTATGTAGATGTTGTTTCTTACTCACTCTGCAGAATGATGTATCAATTAAGCAAGCACTCAGGCCGTGTCCTGCGCTGGCATCATTCTAGACACTGGGCACACAGTGGGCAAAGTGAAATGTGGTCTTTGTCCTCAGGGGACAAATACATGGTTTACTAGGGGGAGAGACCAAGACAGCAATGTGGTAAGTAGAAGGATTACCCAGACTAATATGGGGGGAAATCAAGGTAGATTTGCCCTGTTATGATTTCTTATTTTATTACCTTTCAGTAAACTATTTGTCACTTTATTAGCTATTTTGTTTTGGGGATTTCAAATATGTTAGTTTCTTCTCATGATTTTAACTTTGTCTTTTAGTGCGTACAGTGCTCCTGTTCATTCTAGGGAACACCTGTTATATGAAAGCCATAAAAGTCTAGGTTTTAAAGATTTAAAAATTGCTTTTTTTAAATGGAGCACTGAAAAAAAGAACAATAACCTTTCTGAGCAAATGAACCATTATTATTTTTTTTTTTTTATTCAGCAAATAGTTGAGTGCCAACCCCCTCTTGGCAAAGCCATATTTCAATAGAAGAGGCAGACAAGATTCTGAGCCCCCTCTCCAAACTTCCCTGGGTGTTCACCATTGCACCTTATTTTACAGACAGTGGGGCTGTTAGAGATTGCAAAAGAAGCCATAGGAAACTTCTGCGTTACAGGGAGCATAGGATTCTTCTGTCCCTGGGTTAGGAATCAGGGGAACCAGTGGAGGCTCCACGGAGGAGATGCTATCTAACGCTGTGACTTTTCTTAATCTGCTCAGTTTTACTTTCACTAGGGATAGTTTCCCCTCCCCCTTCTTTTCCCTTTTCTCTTCCTCTTTCTTCTACCTCCGCCCCTCCTTCTCCCCTTCTCCCTTCTAGATGGCTGACCCCTGCTGCCTCCCCTACCCCTCTTCACCCATATAGTCACTGTCTGAAGTGGCCTTGCTTCTTTAGTTTTATGTTTCACTGTTAAAGAGACCACTACTAGGAAGCCCTGTATAGTATTGTAAGCCTTATTCAGGCCTCAGAAATACCTAGCTTTAACCTTATAATTTCCTCTCCAAACTATTAGAAGACTTAAGAGCAGAACATAATAGACTTTATCCCTCCCTCGCCTGTCCCTTGACCCTCTCTCCAGATGTTAAAACAAGAGGAGCTCTCATGGCTAAGGCCTGTTCCCTTCTTTTCTCTCTCTCCCCTGCTCCCCAGGTCATTGGATCCTTGCCCACAACTTACTCTTTTGTATTTTCACGGACTCTCAGATTTCTATCTCAGTGCTGTTTCCTTTGTGCTCCAGACCTGCATGTATGCTGCCTAACTGGCATTATCTGGGACATCTCAGATAGAAAACATCTACAGTCATCCTTGTTATCATTTTTCACCAACCTCTGCTGCCTGGTGTTCCCTATCTCAGAAGGTGTCACCCATCCAGCTGTGTGACCTGGAAATCTGGGACCTCCCACAGCAGCCCATCTTCACAGTTGTTGGGATCACAGGAATCCCTGGAATGTGACTGCCAGTCTCCACTGTCAAACACTGCGTTAGAGGACTGCTTCATAATCTCCTGATGTCTCTTCCCATCAGCTATGCTTCCTTCCAGCCCCTCTCCTCTCTGTAGCTGGAGGGGTCACTGCCCCCTCCACACTTTATCTCCAGTGATGAGCACAGAGCTGGTACTTACTGAGTGCTCAGTATTTTACAGTGAATAAAGTCCTCCTGTTTAACCGTACCTATCATTTATTGTTCTCATCCTATAGTCTTTTTTGTTGTATAATATTAGTCAGCTATGGCATTATTATATTTTTCCACTTCCACATTCATGTCACACTTCACAAAATCACTCAAGATCCTAAAGTACAGCCTCCCCTCCAGAGTCCTAATGTTTTTAACTTTTCCCATCCCAATATGTGCAATAATATTATTTAGCAGAAAATAATTTCTATTTTATTTGTGTATTTAACATCTCTGCACATGTGTTTTTAGAAATTGCATATTTTAAGACTTTACAGAAATTATAAACTATGAATAGTTTTAACACTATAGATTTTGTCTGTATTAGCAAGTTTTTTGAGAATTATGATAATTAGATTTGTTCCTTTCTGATGCAGTTCAGGTTTATAAATGATAAACTGTAGAAAAAGATTCCATTGTTCAGAGAAATATAACAGATTTTTACCAAAGGAAACTTTAAAAGACATTCTTTGTTACCCAACTCAAGTGGCGTGGCTTTGTGGATATTTCTGATGTCTATCCTCAAACTAAATTATGCCAGTTTGTAAATCCTATTTTATTTTCTATCTTTAGCTGAAATTTTTCATTAAAAATGGGTTTGTCAACAATTACAGAATGTGTGCATTATACACCAGACTGTGAGCTCTTGACTTTTTAAAAATAAATATGATCAGGTAATAAATCCTGTTAGAGACTGGTGAAATGTAATCAGGCAATTTTAGAATTTTTTTAATATGTGGTAGTATGTGAGAGAAAACAACTCAAGTTGCTTATCTCTGGCATTTTCTTTTCTTCCAGGTATACCTTGAAAGACTTTTAACATATGCAGAGATAGATATCTGTCCAGCCAACTGGAAGCGAATTGTTCTCGGTGCGATCCTGCTGGCCTCCAAGGTGTGGGATGACCAAGCTGTGTGGAATGTGGATTACTGCCAGATCCTGAAAGACATTACAGTGGAGGACATGTGAGTGTGAGTGTGAGTGAGTGCGTGCGCGTGTGTGTGTGTGTGTGTGTGTGTGTGTGTGTGTGTGTGTGTGTGTGTTGGAGAGCAGTGGAATTGTTTGGGAAGGAGATTATCTCTCTTTTGAATGTCTTTATAGTATAGAATGAATGAATTTGATTGAATGTCTGTTGGGAGCTGATGATATACAATGAAGGCACGGTAGTGGAATATTATATGTAAAAACCTGTATTTCTCTTCATTTGGATAATAAATAGGTACTGGCAAAGCCTTTCTTTACTTTCATTAGAAAGGTATAGAATAGTGCCTTCTGCAGTCGGTGGTAGTTTACATTTGAGTATATCCCACTGTAGAATGATAACACATAGTTAATGTCCTGCACCATTCTTTTGTGGGCCACACAAAGAGCAGAAGAATTAAAATATTGGGTTTTTTTTTTCTTTTCTTTTTTAATATTGATTTCAGAGAGGAATAGAGAGGGAGGGGAAAAGAGAGAAAAACATCAATGATGAGAGAGAATCATTAATTGGCTGCCTCCTGCACGCCCCACGCTGGGATTGAGCCCTCAACCCAGGCATGTGCCCTGACCAGGAGTCTAACTGTGACCTCCTGCTTCATTGGTTGATGCTCAACAACTGAGCCATGCCGACTAGGTTCTTTTTAGTTTCAGAGTGAAAACTTTCACTGCTTTGTCATTCTTTATCAGTTGGTTAAAATGGGCATTCTGTCCTTCTCTGTCATGCATCTCATTGTTAGGATGGCATATTCTCCCCATCTGGGTTCAAGTACTCAGCTCAGTGGAAATACCATAAATCCTGGGGTGGGGAGGAAGGGAGTGCACCCAGGGCTCTTGGGGCAGCCTTAAGATTTCTCATATGGTTCAATCCTTAGATTTAGGTAAGGACTATTAGCAGGAGACTTGCAGGCCTATCCCCTGGGATATCTGGGGTCTGGATTCAGAGCCTCTTAGGAAGAAGGAGCTGTTTTGGAAAGCAATCAGGATGAACTACTTACAGTTGCTTATAGTTTATAGTAACTTTGACACTGCTTATGCTAAAATTTTTCTCACATTATTTGTTTGGCTTTCTTGAGGAAGCCTTAGGCTGGAGGAGATTCCAAGCTGCATCCCAATCCACAGCCATTTCCTTGGACCAAATAGTCCTGGGGATGCAGGATCATCACGGTGCCTATGAGTGCTACTTTGTGGGGTATCACATGGATTTCTCAGCAGGTTGGGGTACCCATGCCTTGTTTACTTACTTTCTGGGCACCCCATTTTATGGCTCCTGTGAAGCATACTTGTTGATGTTCTTTGGGTCTTTTGTTACAGAGCTCATTCCTGCTACTAACATATGAAACTCCTTCCTGTGTCTGTAATTCTCTATTATAAAACTAAGAAAAGTATAAAGAAGCCTTTGATAGTAATAAAAATAAAATTCTTGATTATATTTCAAATGGGAACAACTACAAAAAGAATTGTCATTCGGACCATAAAAGAGAAGGACATTTGGGTGCAAGGTGTAAGAAATGCTGACTTTATTGGTGGTGGTTCTCTCATAACTGCCTGACACCATGTGACACTGAATTGCGCACCACAGGGATCATGATCATCAAGGTTGTCTCTTCTCCTTTGTGTAAAGTGGATAAGATACAACCAATGACTTGGTGTGGGTGGCCCTATTGAGGTTCTACAAGAGCAGGTAGAAAGGGATTCCCCACCATGAGCAGTCGTCTCTATTTAGGTCAAAGAGGAAAATACCTCCTGAAGTCACTGTAAGACTCAAATCTTCTCATCATTTATATCCTGTTTCTGTAAGGAAGTGAGATACAAATGCAAATTATAAATACCACAGAAGCGTTAAAATAACAGGGAGCAGAGAAAAATTAAGAATGAAGAGTTTTAAGGGTTGGGAGGAGATTCTTTTAACGTAAGAGCTGAGAGAACACGTTCATATAAGTAAGTACATGAATTTCCAAGACTTACTGTAATAGTGTCATTCCAGTGAGTCTTTAAATGCTTTTAAAATTTTCTTAAAATCACATAGTCATCTATCAGTAAAAATTACTTAAATGAGCCTTCCAATTTCTTCAGTTTGTTAAAAGCAGAAATTAGAAACCACCTAAGGTTTTAGCATTAGAGTTCATTTACTTTTTTAACACCAAAAATTGGAATAAGTCCCTTTACTTGCCTTCTCAGAGGTTCTTCACCTTGGAACAATGAACTTGGTAAGGTAGGTGACTTGTATTCCTTCCCCTGCCCCAGAGTGGGAGAAGAGTGACAAGGAAAGAGAACCTGTATACTTGGTGTATCCTTGGGCAAGTCAGTTTTAAGAGAGAAATGAAAGTTACTGATCTAGGAATCTGTTCCCTAATGCTATTGGGTTTCTAGGCTTGCTTATAGAAAGCCTCTGAGTGTTCTAAGGCCATGGTCGGCAAGCTGTGGCTAGCCAGCCACATGTGGCTCTTTGGCCCCTTGAGTATGGCTCTTCCACAAAATACCATGGCCTGGGTGAGTCTACTTTGAAGAAGTGGCGTTAGAAGAAGTTTAAGTTTAAAAATTTTGGCTCTCAAAAGAAATTTCAATCGTTGTACTGTTGATATTTGGCTCTGTTGACTAATGAGTTTGCCGACCACTGCTCTAAGGGAAAGCATATTCCAGCATGAAGACCAGTGTTCCTTTGAGCCCTGTAACACAGCGGTCTCCAACCTATTGGACCTCACGGGTCACCAGTGGTCCACAGACCATCAGCTAGCTACTGCTACTGTAACAGATACCCAGTGTTTTGGACTGAATTATGTTCCCTCAAAATTTACATATGGAAGATCTAACCCCCATTGCCTCAGAATGTAACTGTATTTGGAGATTAGGTTCTTAAAGAGGTAATTAAGTTAAAATGGGTCATTAGGTTTGGCTCTAATCCATTATGATTACAGTCAGACAACATGGTAGAATGACAGCCATATGAGGACATAGGGAGAAGATGGCCATCTGCAAGCCAAGGAGAGAGGCCTCAGAAGAAACCAAACCTACTGGCACCTTGATCTTGAACTTTTAGCCTCCAGAATTGTGAGAAAATACATTTCTGTTGTTTAAGCTATCTAGTCTGTGGCATTTTATTATGGCAGCCCAGAGACAAACATAGATTTTAGTACTGGGAATGGGAGTGCTGCTATAGTATATACCTAAAGATATGGAAGCAGCTTTTGAACAGGATAGTGGGAGAAGAGTTTTGAGGCTCATATTGGAAAAACCATAGATTGCCTAAAAGAGATGATTAGTAGAAATAGTGTTAAAGGTAATTCTGGTGAGGATCCAGCAAGAAAAGAGTGGAATTGTAGAGGAGACTTCTGTAATCTTGGAGTTTACATAAGTAGAATGTCATTAGAAACATGAATATTAAAGCTACTGTGAGAAGAGACCTTAGAGATGAGGAACATGCTATTGGACATTGGAGAATAGGTGATCCTTGCTGTAAACTGGCAAAAAAAAAAAGGTGGCCAAATTGAGTTTTAATGTTTTGTGGAAAGTAGAGTATTTATTAATTAATTAATTATATTTGTATTGATTTCAGAGAGAAAGGGAGAGAGAGGTAGAAATGTCAATCATAAGAGGGAATCATTGACCAGCTGCCTTTTGCATGCCCCCTACTGGGGTTCGAGCCTACAACCTGGGCATATGGCTGGAATCAAATGTGACCTCTAGGTTCATAGGTCGATGCTTAACCATTGAGCCATGCAGGCTGGGCATTTATTTTTGTAATATATATTTTTTCAATTATAGTTGACAATACAGTATTAGTTTTAGGTGTATAATATATTGATTAGTTATTTGTGTAACTTATGAAAAGATCACCCCATCTGGCACACTACATAATTATTACAGTATCATATATATCCTATATATATATATATATAAAAGCTAAATGACCAGAAAGATGGGTCATTATGATGCACACTACAGCCGGCAAATCGGCCCGATGGGGATAGGGCCAGCTGGCCAACCTCCTGCAACCTCTGCTCCTGGCCAGCTGACCCCAATCGGGGTGGACAGGCTGGATCCCACCTGTGCACGAATTCGTGCACCAGGCCTCTAGTTAACTAAACTGTATTCCCTATGCTGTATTTTATATCTTATGACTGTTGTTATTGGAAATTTGTACTACTTAATCCTTCCACGTTTTTTAAAAACGTATATTTTATTGATTTTTTACAGAGAGGAAAAGAGTCAGAAACATCGATGAGAGAGAAACATTGATTAGCTGCCTCCTATACACCCCCTACTGGGGATGTGCCCACAACCAAGGTACATGCTCTTGACCGGAATCGAACCTGGGACCTTTCAGTCCACAAGCGGACGCTCTATCCACTGAGCCAGTCTGGTTTCGGCCCTTTCACCTTTTTAACCCAACCCCTCAACCCCCTCCCATTTGGTAATCATCAGTTTGTTTTATGTATCTATAAGTTTGTTTTTGTTTTGGTTGGTTAATTTTGAATTTTAGATCCCACATACAAGTGAACCATGTGATATCAGTCTTTCTCTGATTCACTTATTTCACTTAGCATAAAAAGCTCTATGTCCATCCATTGCATCTGGTAGGATTTTTTTATTGTTGAGTAATATTCCATTGTGTATATGTACTACATCTTTATACATTCATCTTCCAATGAACATTTAGGTTGCTTCCTTATTTTGGCTATTGTAAACAATGTGTTAGTGAACATATGGATGTATACATACTAGGTGTACCGGTTAATGCAGATTTTTTTCAATAGATGGAGTTACACATATGTTGATGTATATGTGATTTGATTTTATATTATTTTGTTATATTGACAAGTTTTAAAACTCCATATGTCAAATTTGCTGAAGGTGTTAACATCATAAATATTTTTACACTTAAAAATGTCAAATTTCGTGCCTGAAAAAAGCATTTGCAGGGAGTTATAATTCATTATTTTGAAGAAAAGTGCTGCTGAATACTTAAGGAAGCTTAGGTGAATGT